GAGACAAACAAATGGGACTATCTTAAACTAAGAAGCTTCTGTACCTCAGTGGAAAAAGGGACCAGAGTACAAAGACAGTTTACAGAATGGGGAAGGTTATTCACCCAATAACCATCTGATAGGGAGTTGATATCAAGGATATACAAGGCACTAATTGAACTCTAGTAAACATCCAACCCCATCAGAAAATGGGGCGATGAAATGAACAGAAACTTTCTCAAAGAAGAAATCCGAAAGTCCAAAGGGCACATGAAGAAATGCTCTGAAGAAATTCTTCATGAAGAAATTCTTCATGAAGAAATGAAGAAATGAAGAAATCATCAGGGAGATGCAGATCAAAACAACAATGAGATATCATCTCACACCACAGAGACTGGCCCACCTCCAAAAGAACAAATGCAACCGGTGTTGGCATGGATGTGGGGAGAAAGGGACTCTCCACTTCTGGTGGGAATGCCGATTGGTTCAGCCTTTTCGGAAAACAGTATGGACACTTCTCAAATAATTAGAAATTGAGCTCCCATTTGACTCAGCGATACTACTTCTGGGAATATATCCATGACCTGCATAAAAGTATAGTAGAAATGACATCTGTACTTGTATGTTTATTGCAGCACTGTTTACAATAGCCAGCATATAGAAAGAACCCGAGTGCTGGAGAACAGAAGACTGGTTAAAGAAACTCTGATACATCTACACAATAGGATACTATGCAGCTGTTAGAAAAGATGAAGTCATGACAGTTGCATGTTAGTGGATCAACACGGAGAGTATCTTGCTAAGTAAAATGAGTCAGAAAGAGAGGAACAGACATAGAAGGACTGCACTCATTTGTGGAATACAAAGTAACTGAATGGGAGACTAACACCCAAGGATAGTATCGATAAGGCCCAGGAGGATTGCTCCATGGCTTGGAAGCCAGCCTCACATGCTGGGGAAAGGAAGCTCAGAAAGTGTAGAGACTATCAAGTAAAAGATGGTTGGATGACCCACTCGGGATAGGAGATGTGTGCCGAAAGTTGAGTATAGACTGAACATTATGGCCATTTAATACCTGTATTGAAATCCACAACACCCAAAAGTAGAGAGATAGCAAAATGCAATGTGCCTACCACAGAAGCCGGAATTGGGGGATGGTGTGGGGTTGTGGGAGTGATACTGGGAACATTGTTGTTGGAGAATGAGCACTGGTGGTGGAACGGGTACTCGATCATTGTATGACTGAAATGTAAACACAAAAGTTTAGAAGTCTGTAACTGTACCTCACAGTGATTCAGTATCACTGTATCACTGTCACTGTCATCCGTTGTTGTTCGTTGGCTTACTCGTTTGGGCGCCAGTAACTTCTCCATTCATCCCAGCCCTGAGATTTTACCAGCCTCTTCTTTCTCGTCTTTCCCAATGATTGGAGGCTCTTCCTGGGTCAGGGTAATGAGACCTGTTATAGTTACTGGTTTTGGCATATCGAATTACACCATGGGGAGCTTGCCAGGCTCTGCCCATGCAGGCAGGATACTCTCAGGAGCTTGTCTGGGTCTCCGAGAGGTCATTCTCTCCATGATTTGTTGCCTTCTGACTGGACCTCATCAAACATGGTGTGGTAATTATGGAAAATGGGTAGGAAGTGTCTTATGACATGGCCGAATGGTCCAGAAAGTGGCCTGGAGTATGGCGGCCCTGGGTAGTAGAGGTCAACTGCCAGGGCAAGGTCCCCTGGGGTACCCTGAGTAAAAACAGTCTGGTGCGGAGTCCTGTGGCATGTCTATGGGGCCTCATTTTATACTCCTGTCTGGGAGGAGCAGCCATGAGTTAGTGATTCAGTATAAAATAAATTAATAATAAATAATTTAAAAATAAAATTAAAATGTGTAGGTTTCCAGTTCAAACCTGTGTCTCCCCTGAGCACATATCTGGCTTGCTTGTTTCTGTGTCTCTTTCCTTTTTCTGGAAAAGCCCATATTTTTTTTTGCACACTTACTTCCTGTCTTTCTCTTCCTCACATCTATGAAGATTTGATTAAAATCTGTTGGCCTTGAAGCAATAATACAGCAGATTTTGCCTTGCACATGGCTAACCTGGATTCGATCCCTAGCATCCCATATGGTCTCTTGAATACGGCCAGGAGTAATTCCTCAATGCAGAGCCAGGTATAATCCCCGAGCACATTGGGTATGACCCAAAAAGTCAAAAAATAAATAAATAAAAATCTCAAAAAAACCCCTTATCTTGCTTCACTAAAAACTGTGTGAGAGAATACAGTCTTTTTAGAAATTTTATTTCTTCAATAAATTACATAAATTAAAATTTGAAGACCATGACTTTTGAGGTTGTTGTGAGGGTTAGACATGTTAGGAGGGCATGATTTTACTGAACACCAATAATGTTAATGGTAATGTACATAGTAATCGTAGCTATGGGCTATTCAAAAAGTTCAATAAATGCTTGTTGAAAGAGTCAATGAATATACTGGAAAATTTTGCTAGAACAAAATCTTAGTGGGCATTTAGTTTAGTGCTGAAATTAGTGGTTTTAAAGCCCATTTTGTATATTTTCTCATCAAGATAAAATGAATAGGAAATAAAATTCTTTAGATATTATCTAAACTTCACAGTTGCTTTCTCATTTGTTCACATAATACAGACGGCAAAATGAGATATTCTGGAGAGTTTAAGATCAGTGCATCTAGAATCAACCAAGCTAGGGTCAAATTCAAGCACTCCCATTTATCTGTTGGTAATAAATATTGGGAAACATATTTAACCTCTATATTACTTATTCTATCTGTAAATAGTTATTCTATCTTTAAATGGTTATAAGAATAAAATTAACCTCATAGGATTGTTTTGAGGATCAGTGAGGCATGCTATATTTATAAAATATATAGATTGTGTGATAAGTAGAAGAATGTTCGCACAAAGATATTCCTATATTAATCCCTGGAACCTATAAATATTACTGTATATAACAAAAGAGATTTTGCAGTTGTGACTAAGGTTAAGAATTTTAAGATGATGAGATTATCCTGAATTATTTGATGGGTTTTTCTAACTGAAAGAGTGAGACAGGAGTGCCAGTGTTAGAATGACACAGTGGGAAAAAGACTGACTAAACATTGCTGTCGTTGAAGATGAAGTAAGGGACTACAAGCGAAGGAATTAAAAAATCTTATAGAAGCTGAAAAAAGCAAGAAAGTGGATTTTCCATTACAGCTTCTAAAAGGCAAGCAGGACTTTTAAAATTTTGAATATGAACTACTTATACCCATTTCTGATTTCAGACATCCCGACTATAGTGATAAAATTGTGTTATTCAAGTCACTAAATTTATGTTTATTCATCATAGTGGTAATATGGCACTATATTGGTGGGTTGCTCTATTTACAACTCCCTTCCATTCTAGCTTTACTTGGCTTTCCTCAAGAGGTCAATTAATCTAAACATTTATCCAAAATCTAATCAATCTTTTTGCTCATGTGCATGCTATTTTCAATCTTCCAGGCTCTAATATTTTTTTCTTTTCATGTATTTACTTATTTCTTTGCGGGAGGGGGCATCCCCTCTCTGCTGAAGTCTTTCTCTTGGCTGTGTGCTCTGTGAACACTACTGGTAGGGCACAGGAGACTAAGTACAGATTGACCCCACACAGAGCAAGTAAGTGCCTTAGCCACTATATTATCCTTTTATCCCCTCTGATTACATTTAATATTAGGGCAGCTATCTTATGAGTAGACCTTATTTTTCAACAATGGTTAATCTGCAAGAAAATAGCACCCTTTAAGGTTTTCTATTGCCAAAGGTAAAAATCATGTGCTTTAATTAATGGATTATATAATAACTTAGGTTACAAAAATTATGCTTTGAGTTTCTTTTCGAGAAAACGTGAACTTCTAACAACCACAACCCTGTTTTGGACAGGTAATTCCAAGCCCAATTTTAGAGTAGAGGTCATCCCATCAGATAAAAAGCCTATAGGAATTAGAGTAATAGGTAATAGGGAACTGGAAAAGGAAAAGAGCTTGGCTTATCAGTGGGAGGCTGAATAGAGAGGTAGGCAAAGATAATAAACAGACGTGGGAATTTAGACTTGGCTTCTAAAATTTGAATACCTCTGCCTTCTTGCTTTAAGTTCAGAAATTCTGTTAATTGTTCAGTTTTGTTTATTTATTAATCACCGTGAATTACAAAGTTACAAAGATATTTATGATTTTATTTTTTAGGTATACAATATTCCAACAACAATGTCTTTTCACCAGTGTCCACTACCTTCCGCCAATATCACCACTCTGGCGTGATACACCTTCACCTTGCTCTCTGTTACTGAGAGTGGAACGGTTTGGAAAACCATTTGGGGAAAGAGACAGCCCCGGCGGGGAGGAGTCACAGGGCGTGCTACTGAAAGACTACATCTCCCAGGCCGCCACGCTTTCCAGCTGGAGTCCCAAGGAGCAGAAACTTCCCCAGTTTCCGTAGGGAAACGCGGTGCTACCACAGCTATTGTGCGTCGAGTTCTAGCCCTCCTCTTCCCGCTCGGGTTTCACTCAGCCCCAGATTAACCCTTCAGGTTCCTTATAGAATATAAGGCTCACTGCCTTGGACTAGGAAGAACTTTTGGATGCTGAAGGACGCTGGTAACGAAACTCTGGAGTGAAAGGAAAACAGCTGAACGAAAGAGCCCAAGTGTTTGACTTGGGTGCTGAGCTTCCGCTGGTGTGCGGGAGAGGTGCTGGCTTTAAGAAGCGGGAGGGGTCGGTGCAATCGGGATTGTTCGGCCAAGGAAATCGGCTACCTCCTGAGCGAGGAGCGCGTAGAGGCGGCTCCTCTGCCGGTAGTTCACCCACGTCGACACCCTGGGCGGGTCGGAATGTCAAGTTTGTAATCACTCTGGAAGGATTTTCGGGTCTCGCGAGGCGAGACCCACGGGCGACTTCTGCTGCAGTCAGGCGAGGCGATGCCTAGGGGGCATGGTGCTTGCTAAATTGCACAGGCCGGGATCCTACTGTTTGCTCTCCCTGTCACCCGAAGCAATCTCGGGTCTCCCATTTCCGGTATAAAACTGCCAGCTCACCTCAAGATTATCATCAGAACAGGTACCTGGCCTCCAGAGGGAGGGAGGCTATGAACTTCCTAAATGGGTCTCACTCACTTCATTCATCTTTCTACCCTATTGTGCCACTAATATGATTGGTCTTTGTGTCTTTCCTCTCTCCCTTCAGTCCCCGCCATTAGAACCATGGGGCACCCTCCCCTGGAGTTCAGCGACTGTTACTTGGACAGCCCCAATTTCCGTGAGAGGCTCAAGTGTTATGAACAGGAACTGGAGAGGACCAACAAATTCATCAAAGATGTGATCAAAGATGGCAATGCGCTTATCAGTGCAATGAGAAGTAAGTGAAAGGATTCCCACAATTGTTTCCCTGAGCCTTTGACTGGCTTTTTACATCTTACCCCATTGCAGGGGGCAGGGTAAATTGAGTGATTCCCAACTCAGGTCCCAGAGCCAAATGAAAGTACAAATTGGGAGTGGAATTGGTAAAAGTGGTGGCTATAACCACTGGACATCTGTTTTTAGTGGCCTTAACCTTGTAAGACAATCTGTAGCTATGTCAGGGACACTCAGCATCTACCTTTACTTAGCAGATGGTTTTATCTGAACAGCCATCCTGCCTGTAGTGTCAGATATGTTTAATAAAACACCTCATATGAATTGGGGATTAAGGAAAACAACTTTACTAATGGTTTTGTCCTGAACTTTGATTGTAATACGTAACTTGTAATACATAAATTGAACAATTAAATAATTAAATAAAGTGACAGATGTTATTTTTTAAAGGGGAATAGGCCCAATGGGAATAGGCCAACATCTGTCCATGTACAGAATTTTGGGGTGGTCTCATATGCTCACACTGACTTGTTCCTGCGTTTGGATGAGAGACCTGCCTAATCACTGTTACAAGGAGCTCAGTCCTACGGGAGCAAAATGTAAGGCCAGGACTAGGAACCATTGGACTGAAGGAACCTCACCTGGCTTGACTTTCCCATTTGTCAGAACTAACAGCTTTTGGACTCCTTGCCCCATCTCTTTCCCCACTCTGTATGCAGTTTTAACATCAGATAATTGGTGGAAGTCTTAGAGTAAAAAAAAAAGCAATGCACACCTTCAGGCAAGTCAACCCTTTGTGCTGAATTATCTACTTAGAAGAATGAGGAATCATCACTTTTTTCTCTTCTTGGCTGAAAGATGATACAAAGTAAAAAATTAAATTTGTTATGTGCACTTATAAGTGTGTTCTGAATATCTTCAAAATACTATGGATAGGTCTAGATTGGGGCCTTGTGCAAGGCAGATGCAAGAACAGGGAAACTGTAAAGGAGAGAGAAGGGCTTAGAAGTGGTAACAGTGGTAACTGCTACCAGCTGGTATTCGTTGTGCAGCTTTTCTGATTTACTCCATAAAATGAATGCTTTTCTGGCACATGCTGTCTGTCCACTTTGGTCAGAATATATAAATTGTCTCAAGTTCCAGCTGGACATTTGATTGAATTTGATCATTTAGTGATTTGTCCTTTTGTTATCTGAACTGAATACACTCTTAGCAGCACCTTAATACTGGGATGTTTAAAACTTATAGATTAGGATTTGGCATGTGTCACCATTTAACAGAATTCATTAAGAGGTTAAAGATATGCAAGTTACACGATAGATGTATACAGGTGAGGGTTTATCGAAAGAAAAATTGTGAAAGTGTGGCTTTATTTTGACTTATTATACTAAGTTTGGTGCTATATCCATCCACAGCCAAATGGAGCTTGTCAATGCTACAGGTAAGAAGTGGATTTGTGTAGTATATGGTGAACAGAACTAATCCATTTTTAGTGATCAGCTAGGGTACATCAGAAAGATGAATATATTTTTGTAAACTTGGCTCATTTATTTGGTAGCCTTATCATGCTACTTATGTGAAGGTAAACTCTACAGTAAAAGTAAAGTAAAGGCCCTCCCGTTGATCATCGATTTGCTCGAGCAGGCCCAGTAACGTCACCATTGGAGACTTTGTTGTTACTGTGTCTGGCATATCGAATACATCACGGGGAGCTTGCCAGGCTCTGCAATTCATGCTTTATTTTGCTCATCTTAAAAATAATTTAAGAAAAAGGTTGTTCATTAAAATGCTTGGAGAGGGCAAAATTTCATAAGCTATGGGCTTTTCTGAGAATAAAATGTTAAGAATCAACAATTATGTAGGCTAGAATCTTTGGATGCGGCAATAGCTTCAAGAGGTATTTTAGTTCATGTGGTTTCTTGATAATTATGGTAGGGCTTTTGGTTTCTGAGTAAACACAGAACCAGAAATAGGACAGGAGGGAAATAAAATTTAGCACTTTTACCATACCCCTTTAAGTTGGATGTTTCTATAGAAAATGGATCAAAGTCAAGATGTTTCCTACTGTTTTGGCCACAGTAATGTTTATACACCTACTCTTTCTTCTTCATGCTCTGCAAGTTGGGATACTTTTTTTGAAGTAAAACAATTTTTATTTGAAGGTTTTTGAGAAAGAAAAAGGAGGGAGAGAATGGAAGAGTAAGTAACATGCTCAAGAGATAGTGTGGGCTTTTCCAAAGGCAGAAAGAGCCCCTACACACATCCCAGCATTAGACATGAAAGCATGAAAGTACGCATCTCAAGACGGGAGATGCAGGAGACACATATGCTCAGGCACCATGTGCGCTTGGCCACATGGACATAAGCAACACCTGGGTTTGGGCAGCATATGTGTGTGCTTCCTCTGTGAAAATGGTTTTTAAAGGATTTTACCCAAGCTGCCAGGCTGGAGCGATAGCACAGCGGTAGGGCGTTTGCCTAACATGAAGCCAACATGGCCTACCCGAGTTCAATTTCTCTGCCCCTCTCGGAGAGCCCGGCAAGCTACCGAGAGTATCTTGCCCGCACGGCAGAGCCTGGCAAGCTACCTGTGATGTATTTGATATGCCAAACATAGTAACAACAAAGTCTCCAATGGAGACGTTACTGGGCCCGCTCGAGCAAATCAATGAACAACGGGAGGACAGTGACAGGACAGTGACCCAAGCTGCCAGGTGTAGGACTTTTTAACTAGGTAAGAGTGGGCTTTTTTGAGAGTAAATGGCGTGGAATCAAAACAAAACCATGCATAGGCATTGTGGAATGGAAAAACAAAGGAAATCCCTGCAAGCAGTGTTAGAAACCCTGTAATCAGAGTTTACAATTTTGACTTTATTGTCTTGGGGTCTGGCACAAATCACTTTCTTCATGTATGAAATGGGGGTAATTATACCTATCTCATGGAATTATTGAGAGACTCAGAGTAGTTAGTGGGTTATGAAAGTGAATGAAACAGCTATGTACTGATGGTCATTGATAGTAGATCATCAGATGAATATTATATTTGCTGGTGAATGTGTACTTTCTAGTATTTCTCTGAGGAAAATGCATAAACAGGATTGTTGGAAATAGATATCTGTTGTCTTTTTGTTGAAAATGTCATTTCCTATATTGATATGGTTGAGTGATTAATTTCATATTTATATTTGTGGATTCTTTTTACCAATGGAGTCTGTTATAAAAAGTCAGTAAGAAAGCGTGGCATAATTTTACTTGTTAAATTGACCATATTTTAAATTATATTTCTAAAAACTATTAATGCTTTGTACATCACACTACAAAAACCATCTGCAGGGTCCATGGTGATGGCTCAAAGGACTGGAGTACATGCCTGTCATTCATGAATCCCTGAATTTGATCCCTGCATTGGTTGACCCGTAAGCTCTGCAAGGTATGGTGCTAGAAGGCCCCCAGTCTAATCACTGCTGGGGTGGCCAAGAACACTACTGTACTGCAGTGCTTGACTTAATCACAGAAACAACTGACCTGCAAAGCTGGGCAGAGTATTGCTAGACCTCGGGCACTGTAGTGTATGCATTATGTATAGAACTTGACTTCTGTATTTATCTTGCTTGTGTCTGATTTTGTGGATAAGATTTCAGTTATAACTGTGTGGGTGATTATTTCATGAATATAGGCCTTGTTTGAATATTTAGATTTATTTACCTTTGTGTTTAGAGGTAATTGATACTATAAGTGCTTTTCAGCTTGTCTCCCTTAGGGAAGTAGTTGACTCAAGATGATGATTAGAACCTAAACTAATGGAAAATAAAGGTCTTACTAATGTGAAAGATACCTGTATTTTCCCCTTTTATGTTTTTCATTTGCTTTATGTTTGCAATTTTGGTCTTTGATGTTTGAAATATTTTTGAATATGAGCTAGGTTTTAGTTAGAACAAGTGATATGGTCCATGCTTATTATCCCAGTGAAACATGATATGCCTAATAAGTGTAATATATAGTAACTAAGTGCATGTCATTAAGTCAGTAAATATCTTTGCACATTCTATATTCAAGCCGTTGTTCTCAAGGATGCCACAAACATGACAGTGAGTCACAAATGTATCCTGCCCTCAAGAAGTTCTTAAGTTAGTATAGGAAAATAAGACACGGGTGGAAATTGCTATCATGTAAGATAGTAGATATAGACTGGATCATGACTGTGGGACAGGTATAATGTGGACATGGTATGTGGCAATTTTTGGTGGAAAGACAAGGAAAAACAGGAGGAAGGATTAATTGGGAATGTTTGTGAAGAATTAATAACACTCATTTCTTTGGCTGTTCTCATGTGCCAGGGGTTAAATCATTTAACAGCCTTCAGAAGTAAGGATAATTATTATTTTATAGAGAGAAGACTGAACCTCAGAGAGGATAAGTACCTTTCTAATGACAGGGAAAGAGTCTGAATCAGAATCCAAACTAGACTTCAAAGAGCCTGCTTTACTGAATTGCACTGTATTTCACAGGGCATTCCATAAAGTAGGAATGTAAAAGGATAACAAATGATTCAAGTCACTTGCAAAAAGGTATAAGAAAGGATGTTTTGTAGGTGAGGTAGGAATGGAAAATTGAGGACTTGACAGCATAGGACCTGTTAAGTATTTCAGTGTTTTTTAAAAATGTTTTTATATTTTAATTGAATAACCATGAATTACAAAGTCGCCATTTTATTCATGACTGAGTTTCGAGCATACAGTGTTCAAATACCAGTCTCTTCACTAGTGTTCACTTCCCTTTCCCAATGTCCCTAGTTAACCATTTACCATGCGGAGGGCCCCGCCAGACCACTCTCCGGCCCGCGGAGATGGCCCTAGGATCCCTAGGTGCAGGGAAGAACCAGCCGAATGAACACAAGACACAAGAGACATAATGCAGAGAAAACAGGACAGAGCAGACAGGACAGCAGACAGGATAGGATAGGAGAGAACAGAACTTTATTCAGAGCAGCAGGGGCTTAAATAC